CAAATTTCTAATTTGCACACTTTTTAGTAAATTATAAATATTATTTAGTAAATCCTGCTCTTTCTTCCGCTTCGTAAGCTAAATCGAAAATTGCTTTTTGAAGAGCTCTTCTTGCTTTGAACGGTAATCTTTTCAAAATGTCACCCAAATAAATTAAGAATCCATCGATGCCATCAGGAGGCTTATTACACTCCGATAGAATGTTAACCAAATGCTTCTGAAATTCTACGTCTTCAGATTTCTTCCTTGGACCTAAAACATTACAAAAATATTAAACATAAAACTTACTTGATAAAAATACAGTAAATACATAAAAATAAGATGCTAACGATATAATGCATATTTTAAAAAAATATCTTACGCAAACTTACGTTTTGTATGCTCGATGAAGCTACTGTTTTCAGAAATATTGCTATTGATTCCAGATGTGCTTAAGGGGTTACTGTCTTCCATCGGTTCTTCAATTGTGTTAACATCTGAAGCAGTGGACATCGAAAGAGATTCATTTGAGCCGCATGAATGAGACCTTTTTCGTATCGTGTGCCGTTGGCTTAATGGGATGCTGGAGTGATTCTGCACTTTTGGCTGTACACAAACGCCACACAATTTGTATATTACACAAATATTTTCACGAATCAATCGTTCTAGGAGCGAAAGGTGCTGAATGTACAGAATCACTCCAGCATCCCCCTGACACGCGCTCGGGGCCACGTATTGTGTCATCACGCTGATGCAAGATAATGCAAGATACTTGAGTAACGAGTCATACTTTGCTGTTCCCCATTCTGTATTGCTGATGATCTCCTTGAACATGGAGATAGTGGCCACCACGATGTTGTAGGTGCCCTTGATTTCTCTGAAAGAGAGAGAAAGCGGACGTTAGCTCGAGTTTTCTCAGTTTTATTTCTTCTTGGACATTCGATGGCAAACTGTCTCACCCATAGTGAATGCTGTTCACCAACTTCAACACACTTTCGTTAACATCCCGCGGACTCGCGTCCATTGTTTTCATCTCCGTTTGTCCGAACATTAAAATTCACCACAGCGTATCTCAGCACGTACACCGGAAAACTCGCGAAGTTGCTTCTCTAACCTGTTCGTATCTCGTTGCAAAATGTGTTAACCCAATACGTCGTCTATGACGCACCATGGGAACAGGCCGGCCAAACATTTCCGTCACTCGTTGATACGGCAAAGCTCTGATTGGTTGCTTCTATAACGCACTCTCTATTCCGTACTCCTATTCTGCACCATGTGATTTCAGCCTTATTGTTGACCACAATAGAGTGTCATTCATGACGACGATGCAGCGCGACTTTAAGTTGTCGCGTAAAAATTACAAGTTCCGAAACGTAAAAATTCCAAGTTTAAACGCGATATCCTATGCCCCGCCATTAAATCTAACGAGGTCTCGCAAGTTTTAATTCGATAAGGTGCAATTTTGTTGACGCTAGAAACCAGCGGCAAATGAGTTCTCTAGTGACTTCTCGACGTAGGGGGGGAAAAGTTGAGACCGTCTCAACTTTTCAGTGTGCCGTGGTGTGACTGGGTGTCGCAAAGACTGCGTTCAGAAACACCACCCGAGTACTCCAGCGTATTATTCTATCCTTGTTGCTCACCGTATGTTAAACAAGGATAAAATGATACACCGGTGCATTCGGGTGACGTTTCTGAACGCAACCCTAGTCACTATATTTGTCACGTGACATTGGGTTTGTTTTCTGTTCCTGCACTGGTGAACTAGTGCAGTAAGCTAGAATGAGAAAAAATATGCTTGTCTTACTCCAATTTATTGCACTAGTTCACTAGTGTAGGAACAGAAAACAAGCCTTATATTTGACGCTAAATCGTAGCGTCAATGAAAAAGCCGCTATAGAGTGTCATTCATGACGACGATGCAGCGCGACT